TTGTATAAATTCACTTGCTTACTACTAGGTTTATTTACTGCCTTATGCCTATCCTTATAGCACTAATATCGCTTTCTACTGCTATTTTAATTCTTTTTCTTATTGTGGAATCATTGGTCGTGTTATTGGATTGCTGTGAATTCAGACCCAAAATAGGAAGCTCCGTACCTGCCTAATGGAATAAACTTTTGGGAATAGTGCCCGCTCTGGGTAGTGGATCATGTAGTTGCCCCAGATAAGGGTCTTAAAAAATTTAGCTTAATCGCCCTGCCAGGAAACAGATTCTGGAATAAGTCCACTAAGTCTAGGGAAAAGGCACTACTATGCTAAACTAATGCTAGAACATGCCGCACTTGCTCACGCTAAGAAAGCGGCGAGTTTAACCATTCACCGATAATAAAAATCTACCTATCCCCTCCTTTTCATATCTGCCACTTATTCCATCAATTGTTTTATCTCAGTCCAGCTCTAACTTATTCCCATTTTCCCCCATTATCTTACCTAGCTACAACATGCCACCCTCTACCACTCGCAGTAATACACGCCGATATCGTTCCGATCCGTCGAAATTACCCCGGCAGAAATCCATCGCGTAAGTTGCAAATGGCTACAAGGACCTTGGACCCAGGGCTAATTCGCTTCTGTCGCCTTTCGCATCTAGGTGTCGTAATTGCCATGCTCGGAAGATCAAATGCTCTGGGAATAAACCATGTAACAATTGTTCTTTGGCATCTGAATGCGTGTATCCGACGCGAGATCGGCAGATCAGGGTAAACCAAAGGTAGCATCATCCCTATCGCTGCCTCGCCATAGATTTGCCCTTCTCCGTCATTTTATGTGGTATTTTAATTTGTTGGAGAATAAGTCTGGTAACCATGAAACTCTCATGATATAGTCTCCTTGACCGCCTCCTTCAAGAGAATGAGGAATTACGTGCCCAGATCCATCCTGAGTCGCCACAACCTAGACATACAGATGCACCCTGGCAACCTACTCCGACATCCAACGACCATCAAGATGCTGCTGAGGAGAAGATACTGGAAGAAATAGACTGGTTCGCCCACACGAGAACATCCGATACGCCCATCTGGATAGGCGAGATTTCCGATGCAGCGTTTGCGACTCGCTTCCGACAATTTGCCTCATCTTCCCAAACACCAAGTCACATCCCTCGCACACAGTTCGCTTCCGACGACGATCTACGCCTCCTGGTCACTACGAATCCAGCCTGGCCGACACCGCCCCGCGCCAGGCTTTTGGTTCAGACAGCGCTGAAATTTCTCCGGTGTAGCTATCACGTAGTGCGGCGCAGCGAGATACTCTCGGCGCTGAACACCTTCTGTTTAGACCCAAGCAACGCTGGCGTTAGCCCTATTATGAAATCCAAGATGTGGGCTTTGTTTGCACTTGGTGAACTAAGATCAAGTAAATGTCTGAGTTCTAGCAAAAGGCTTCCTGGGTTAGCCTACTTTGCAGTTGCCAGCGATACTGTCCGTATGATCAACGAAAGGCCACAGCTCGACGTGATCGAGACAACCTTGATTCTGGCGAGTCCTCTCATGGTTCATTTCATCCTCCCACTCGCGCTGACTTATGGTGCAGACTCTGTATTCGCTCGAGGCAAATCGCCGACATTCTGCGTGTACACTCGTTGGTTCAGCCATGCGCCTTGCGACCGTGATGGGTCTCCATCTCAACATTGGCGACACCTACCTTGCAGATCCTGAACTAAGAGAGCATCGCATCCGGGTGTGGTGGTCAGTCTATATCCTCGACCGTCTGTTATCTTCAAAGATTGGTCTTCCGCTACTCATATCAGACGAAGACATCTCGGTCGATCTACCCTCCAACAGCCCTGCTCTCACCTCGGAAGACTTTGGCGATCATTCTCACTTTTTAGCTATTGTGCGACTTGCCAAGATCGCAGGGAACATCTCTAGATCTCTCTATGTCCGGACACCTCAGCGCGGTACATTTCTTCAAAGGGTTGCAAGGATTCGAGAGGAGCTTGATCACTGGAAGGGGGAACTACCAGATCAGGTAAAGGCTGACTTCAGTCGCACCGACGAGACTGAGGATCACTCCCAGTCTGCTATCTCTAGATTGAAGGTGTCATTTAACCAGGTACGCTGTTCGTGAATTACTCTATCTCAAGTTAATGACATGCATTACATACTCTTGCGTGCATATCTGAGTCATACTTAGGCTTGCTAACCCTTCTAGTTATTCATCTTAGCAACGAGGCCTGCACTCCTCTTCTGCTTTCGTCGACAGGTAGATGAGGCTGCGGCAGCGCCGAGAGAAAATCCTCTTCCAGACGCAGCTCGCGAAGCGGCAGACGCGTGCGTCAGCGCTGCTCGACAATCCTGCCAGCTGTTATTGCGGTCCTGGGTGAATGGCGAATTCCACACCTTCGATTACTCTTACGTACAACACCTTTTCTCTGCTGCAGTGATCCTCGCGATAGCGAGCACACTAGGTCAGGATACCTCGAAGAATGATAGAGAAGAGTTTGAAATTGTAGCAGGCTTTCTACAGCAGCTAGAAGAGAATGGAAATCCTGCAGCCATGGAGTTCTATGCTCATATCAAGGAGATACAGATAGTCTTAGAAGCATGGCGTTCTACACCCTGTCAACCAAATGCTTTGCCGATATCTCAAGACCTTGGCTCTACAGAAGTCTTCCAACGCGCAATGGCCAATCCACCATTGGAAGTCCCGGTTTTACACAACACAGAGCTTGGTACTCAGGCAGCGGATGGCTCACCTTTGAACCTTTCATTTCTCGATGACTGGATCTACGATAATGCATTTCAACAGATATGCTGGCAGGAATAGTGCAGAACCGATGAATGGAGTATTTTGTGATGCTAGACTATCCAGTCGATAAATGACGCTGTTGAACAATCCTTCATATCTATTCCTTACGCTGTAGAGTGTGATAGCCAAGCTTCTCTCTCGCTTCAGCAATAGTAGATCCCTTGCATATCATTTCCCTAATGCCTTGCTCACTCTTCTCAATACGGCTCGCAATTGCAGCCACCTCACGAGCCCTGTCTCGTGGCACAATTACAACCCCATTTGCATCGGCTACAACAATGTCTCGCGGGCTGACACGTACTTTACCGACGCCAATCGACTCGTTGACCCCTTCAACCTGGACTCGATCCTTGCCCGTCCGCATCCAGCGCCCAGAGGAGAAAATTGGGTAATTGTCGCTGATAGCACGGTCAACATCACGGCATACACCATTGATGACTGTTCCCGCAACACCACGCAGGCCGGCATACTGCGTCATTATATCTCCCCAAACAGTGCAGTCTGTGCGGCCACCGTTATCAATTACAACGACATCGCCTACGGCCACGTCGTCGATGAAATCACCAACACTTCCTGGAGGGTCACTGGCAGGGGCATAACGAACTGTGAAAGCGGGCCCGACTGTGGTCTTATTGTAATTCGCCAGGGGCATGATGTCGAATGCTTGTCCTGGGATACCAAGCTTGTCGAGGGCGTCTGAAACTCCCGGGGTGTCGGAATCGGCGAATAGACTGACCAGTTCTTGGTCTTCTGGATTAGCCGTGTTGGGATTTTGAGGCTCGTCAGGCCTTGCTGACCTATAGGGAGTAGCCGAAGATCCAATGGATTCAAATTGCGTGTCATGCATGACTTCTGCCACAGAGCGGCCGCTTCGTACCTCCTGAACCATTCCATTCTGGCGACGATCGATGCGCTCGCCCAGTTCCAGGACATCTTGAATACGATCAGCTGGTATGAAAACCACGCCGCAGTTATCCGCAATCACATAGTCGTTCTCGTCCACCTTGACACCGCGTATCTCAACCTGCACGCCAGAACCGATCTGAACCAATCTATTGCGTGCGCTGATCATAGTCACACCACGACCAAAGACAGGATAGCCGATGTCCCGACTTCCATCAATGTCACGACTCATGCCATCGATGATAGATCCACGGATTTTCTTGACCTTGGCGGCGTTGGCGATGATGTCACCCCAGGAAGAGATTCCTTCTACACCACCAGCGATGACAAGGATGCGATCGCTTGTTGCTACAGCATCTATCACTGGTGTGATCAGATGTGTCGTAGCTGGAGCATCCTCTTTCTTGGGTCCAAGTTGGACAGTGCTGGCGTGGCCGACGATTTTGGGGCAGTCCCAGAGGGGCCGAAGACCATTCGTAGCTCCAGGGAGACCAAGAAAGTCCAAGGCGTCGGATACCGTATTGGTATCTAGTGCTGAAAGCCGATCAAGTGTAGTGTCAGACATTTTAATGCACTAGAATAGTTATCGTATAAAAATGTAAAGGGAGTCTGAAATGATGTATTTTAGAAGACAATGCTTAGATACAGCGTGCCTGCCATGGCCATTTAAACTAGATACTTCAAGAGACTTTATCAGTCTAGAATATTGATGCCAATTCCGCCTCCACAATCATGATGTCCTAAAGGCCAAAGGCAAAGACGCCGATTGGATCGGCCTTCTGCCATATCCCCAAGCTTGAATCCCATAATAGTAAAATAAAGGATGCCCATTGGATCGGCGTTTGGTTCTTTCGCCAGGCACACCCCACCATGGGCCCGGGCAACATTTGGTGGCGAGCTGCGGTGCGGTGTGAGCCATCAACTACGCAATTAAACTGAACAAGGCTTCTTCAATCCAAGCTGGAATGCTCGTTGTGACTAATATGCGATTTTTGCCGCATAGTATTACTACAAGGAATTTCCCTTTTATGCTTAAACTCACAAGAGGCTATACAGCTTTTAATTCGTTAGATTAATTAAAATAATAGATCTAATTGTTAACAGTAATAGGCGAGCTAGCATAAAAAGTATAGATGAAGAGCACCCTTGATAGTCTTTGTTATAATCGTGATATATTGAAGCCTAATTACAGCTATAGAAAGGATTTAATGGTTTTAACACCTTGCTGTAACCGAAATTGCTTGCTTAGCTGAAGTTTACCATCTAGAACTTGAGTGCTAATTCGTGCCCAACACAGAAAGGAAGCCTTGTACAACAATATCTACATTGTTGCTTGTCACTATAAGATTCGTCAGTTTACTGATCATATACCGGGAGCTTGGGTATATGGCTTACATCCAGTCACGGACAACCTGCCAGAAGGAAGGAGGTAGATATGATGGTTTGTTCTGAGCTCATCGACCTGATCACGGGCGAGTCCCGTCATAGAAAACATACCGATCTATAAACCTTGTTAGTTGAACTCCACAAGATAGCTGGGGGAGGTGTTCATACGTCTGTAAGCAAGTGCTCCCACGATCCCCTGACTGCTCTACGTTGTAGTCCTTGGTACAAAGCTTTACGCATGCTTTTCATCCGTTCACTCATCGTCACTAGGTCCTGTTGCCATTGGCCCAAGAGAACCGGGCTACTCAGAATTTTGGCTACGATTCTTGCACCGTATGAAGGACAAGAAGTTATCTCAGCCCGCGACAGCTGGGTTAGTAAAGGGGTGACCTTAGCCGCAGTGTCGGTCTCAAGTACAACCATGTGAAGAACCCCTACGCGCTCTCCATATAAACCGAAGTTCTTGGAGAAGGACTGCGCCACTGCGAACTCTAGGTCTGATCTTTCAAAGAAGTGAGTTATTGCGGAAGCGTCTTGATTCAGGTCTCCAGACGCAAAGCCCTGACCGCAAGGATGTCAGATACAGAACATTCTTTGATGGCGGTATAGACTACTCACTAAGCCATGTCAAAGACCGCGAATAAACCAGATTCCTTGCAAATCTCAGCGACAGTCTCCCATTGCTGGCGGGTGAGATCTGCTCCAGTGGGATTGTGAGCGCATGCGTGTAGGATAATAACGTCTCCTTCACATGCCTCCTTCCGCAAGGTTCGTGTCATTGCCTCAATGTCCACTCTGTGATGTACCATATCATAATACGGATAAAATCGCTGTTCAACGTCTGGGCCAACAAGCTTCCAGATCTCTGTGTGATTAATCCAGCTTGGGTTTGAGATCCACACCCTCTTAGGTTTGAGGTTGGTAGCGAGGAACAGAGCAGCCATATGGTTGGCTCCTGTGCCGGAGACTGTCTGAATTGAAGCTACACGCTTTAGGTCCCGGGTTTTGCCAAAGACCAGCTTCTGTGAGCCAAAAAGCAACTCTGGGTGACCGGTAAGAGGCAGGTGCTCGTGGTTGAGACTTGGATCTGCATGTATCTGTTCCTTTGCCTGTAGGGCATCGTCAGCCAGTGTTTGACAGATAAGTTCATTTAGCTCTATGCTGCTGTACCTGGGCAACAGATGGCAGAACCCATGGTTCTGCGTTATCATCACGATAGAATCCTGGACACAAGTCAACCTTGTGCTCGGCCGTGTCCGCTTTGAAGCTGGCTATGAGCGAAAAGGCCGCGTCTGGCTGGGCGGGTGGAATATCGGAAAGGTGCGACATGTTCAAACTGTTTCTTCGTATTGTCTCTGGCACGGTGATAGTCTTTCGTTACAAAGAATTTGGAGGCAAAGGTAGGAATTACGGTAATGAGTTATAGAGCAAGCGGGCGGAACCCTAACGGAGCCGTCGGGAAGACTAAAGGATGCCGGTCAGAGACCCGGCGATAAATATGTCACCGAGTGAAAGGCAAGACTCGCCAGCCACCAGATCCTGCCGAATCGAAAGTGTCGACAAAATCCAAGATAATGAGTATGGGGTCGGTCATAAGTAGCTTCACCGATTGATTTCATCGGAATGATACCGCGCCTAGATAGGAATGAGTCTGACTTATTTACAGGCTATGTATATCAACTGCAGTTTGTTGCATACTTCAATACCATTAAGTAGTTCATCATTATCTAATTGTACTCCATCATTATATATCTCTTACCATAACATATCTCACGATGTTGCATACCTCTGCTCTTACGACCACTATTAAAAACCCGCAACTACGGCTCCTCAACGCTCTTCGCGCCAATTCGGGTCCAATTATGACCTTTCTCGGTCTCCCTTCCGCACGCACAGCTCAACTGGTAGCTTCCACTGGCCTCGATGGAGTGATTATCGACTGTGAGCACGGACATATCAGCGATGATTCTATGCATAATGCAGTTACGGCTATCGCTTCCCAGGGAGTCTCTCCACTTGTCCGTCTTAGAATGACTCACGCGGACTTGATAAAACGCGCTCTAGATGCTGGTGCTCATGGTATTGTTGTTCCTATGATCAATACACCTGAAGATGCCAGGAACGTGGTTCAACACGCCAAGTTTCCTCCCCAAGGGCTGAGGGGACAAGGCTCAGCGTTTCCTGGGTTTGCTTTTGGGGTTGATATCCCAACTTACATGGCCATGGCCAACGAGACCGTTCTCATTTGTCTGCAAATCGAGTCCAAGCTGGGTGTTGAGAATGTTGACGCTATATGCGCCGTGCCCGGTGTTGGTGAGTAAACTAGCCACCCTTGACTCATGTAAGCTCGTTTCTGAGTTTAGACAAGATATGCTTTTCATAGGTCCCAACGACCTTGCTCTTTCGATTTTAGGTTACGCCCCTGCAAGAGGCAATGAGCCTGAATATAACGACGCAATTGAGAAGATCATAGCAGTAGCTAGGAAGCATGGCAAATGGATTGGCCGCTTATCGAATGATGGAGCTTCGGCTAGGAAGCATCTAGAAATATTTGACACAGTGGCTCTAGGCTATGATGTGCGGGCTATCCAGAATTGGTATCTAGCTGAACTGAAATCTGCACGCTCGTCGCAATAAAATCAGGACTTATGGAAAACCCTTCTAGCACTTGTAACTGCATCCGTCGTTTTAAGAAGCTGCCGAGATACGCTAGTGCTTGTAACCGAGGAATTAATCAGCATACGCCCAACAGAAGACGGAGACTCGTTGCAAATCAAAAATGACGTGAACGGGTGCTGACTCAACATAAGGAACTGGAATTTGAGTTTTATGCGAGTTGATTGGGGGACGGCGTGTTCTAGGCGACGCCGAAGCACGGGAAAAATATTTCTTGCCGAAGTGGGGATGGTGGATGTACATACCTTGGGGCTGCGTTGGTGTTCAGAATAGGTATAAAGGTTGCAAATTTATCCAGCACTACAGCAGTGCGCAGATTTATGGATTCGACATCACCAACTACTCCAAAAGCATTTCGACTAAAAATGACAAAAGCAAGCGAGCCTCAGCAGTTGATTCGGCAAACAGTAGAGCTTCGCATTGACGATCTCTCTTTCAACCTGTCCACCGTTCGTCGAGACGGACCTTTAGTTCCAATTTTCTTCTTACATGGCTTCGGAGGTACCAAAGAAGACTATGTTGACATCGCGCTCAATCCGCTATTTACTGGTCGGCCCTTCTTAGCCTACGATTCGCCCGGTAGCGGAGAATCGACAATGTCCGATCTATCTCAGCTATCAATGCCCTTGCTTGTCTCAATCGCGGAACAAGTGCTTGAGCAATTCAACATCACCCACTATCACCTGGTTGGCCACTCAATGGGGGGACTGGTGTCTAATCTACTGGCTCAATGGCAGCCATCCTCGGTGTCGAGTTTTATCAATATTAAAGGAAACCTCGCCCCAGAAGACTGCTTTCTGAGTCGGCAGGTCCTCCACTACCCATCAGATGACGCGGAAGCATTCGTTAATGAGTTCATCGAGCGAACACGCCAATCACCGCTCTATGGTAATGGGCTGTACGCCGCTTGCTTTCGTTCCAAGGTGCAAGCCGCTGTAGTTCGGCCTACGTTTGAGTCTATGGTAGACTGCACGGATAACGGGAGACTCTTGGAGGCCTTTGAGAATTTCACCTTTCCAAGAATGTATATGTTTGGGGAGCAATACGCTTCCTTATCATACATGCCCAGGTTGGTCAAGGCCGGGGTGGAGCTGGCTGAGATACCTCATAGTGGGCATTTTGTTATGTATTCAAACCCTGTAGCGATGTGGGAGCGAATCGCCCAGTTTGTGAGCCGGATAGAGTATTTTAATGGAGACAGAACTTGTATTATATAAGCTTGAATTTATATAAGTGTTGAAGTTGATATTCCCGTTTGACTAGTATGTATTGTTTCTTTTGCTTGGAATATTTCTTCTCTCCCTAGAGTAAAAAGAGGGTTAGCAGAACTATGCTGCCAAGCCGAGGTGCTACCCGGGCTTTTGTAAATAAGACTGCTTAAAGTTTTAGTTTTCTTCTCAGCGGCATAGTTCCAAACTACATTGCATCTGAGATGTCTTGTCTTATATCTTAACAGTATAATATAGACCAGAAACAAACGGCTTTACTGAATACATTAGTCTTATAGTAGTGACTACTAGTTAGTGCCCATCTGATGCTCCAATAAGTGGCCTAGCGGAGGTCATCGTAGCCAGAAACGATTTAGGGGCATCATCTTCAAAGAACTGAACCCCACTCAATATGCTCCGTGAAATCACGTCAATAGCGTATGGAAGCATCTCCTCCTCATACTCAGCAATAGCCCTCTTGGTCAGGCCAAATTCCTTCAGCTTGCCAGCGAGAATGCAAGAGTCGCGCAACGCACAGTTGACACCGTCACCTACAAATGGCGTGGTGACATGAGCAGCATCTCCTATCAGAGTTACATCCTCAGAGGCACTCCAGTTCAGTCTGTCGGTTGGCATGTGGTACATCAGCCACGGCCTGAAAGGACCTTCGCTGTGGCGGATAATATCTTTGAGCTCCGGTGCATAAGACCCGAAATACTCGTTTTTGAGAAGGAGATTCTTGACGGCTTCATGATCGTCGAAGTCAATGCCGGCGGTGGCAGGGAAGTTCTCAGGCTTGTGCAAGCCAACGTCGATGCGATAATGGCCATCTCCCTGCCGCGAATTGAACATGTGCTTCCCGTTGCCCATGATGACATGGGAACCGACACCGCCGATAGATTCGAGAGTGGAATAGTATGGGTTGCCAGGGTGGATCTTGGTCGTGATGTAGAGGTTACCTGAGTAAACAGGCTTTGCATCCGTCACCTTAGATAGATTAGGTCCAGATATATGGCATGTGAGGATTATGAGGTAACTCACCAAGTGTCGGATCTTACTGTTTGTGCCATCTGCACCAACGACAAGGTTGAACCCCGATGCCGTGGTACCGTCGGTAAACGTGAGTACAATCTGCCCCTCCTCGTTCCTATGGGAGCTAGCCACGGGCTTTGACCAGATGATCTTGTGTTTCGGGATACCGGTGAGAAGGACATTACGCAGCTGCCATCGATCAATTTCGGGAGCATCGCGGCCCTCCCCAAAGGCCAGAAGCTTGTTTCCCTGATGATCATACAGCAAGTGAATGGTGGCATCTCCATCACGCGAATTCTTCTTAAACTCATCATAAACGCCTGCCTCGTGCATCGCCCGCTGTCCGCTTCCTACATGCAAGTCGAGGCATCCTCCACGGGGCTGAGACTGTTCGCTGCTGCGCTCGTAGACGATATAATCGATGCTATTCTTTTCGAGGATTGCCGCCAATGCCAAGCCTGCTGGGCCGCCGCCAAAAATTGCGATTTCGGGAGCCATGGCGTATCGATGTCGAACAGGGATTATTGATTGTGGAGAAGAATAAGCTGCAAGTCTGCTGGAATAATGCTTTACAAGAATCGAAACAACGGCTTTCGGACACTTTAATAGACAGAGGCGTATGAGGTGCACGGGACGTCGCAAAGCAATGTGCGTTTACTTCCCCCAGTGCTCCTAGATTCAATGAGACGAAACCGCCCCAAGCAGCGCGGACATAGAGCGGATGGGCGGGCAATGTCGCATCCCAGTTGCGGATGTAAATGCGGGGGCCTAGCGGGAGTGTGTTGCGGGGTGTCAACGTGGGGTACCAGGACAGAGATTTAATTGGACTAGGCCGCGGAACGACACGAATGCTATGGCAGGCCTGGGTATACGTAGAAAGAAAAGCTGGCGGGAAACTTTGGGGGATGCCCCTGGTCATTGAGTTTCTGTTGTAGATGAGCTCGTGATATTACGGAAGGTCAATCATTATTATAGAAGTTTATAGGACTCTTGACAATTACTACATAATATCTTAAAGGCAGACAACCAGTATGTATTTAGACTTCTAAGATTCAAAGGGCTAATACCCAAATATCCAAGCTAGACAAGACGTTTTCTCGTCATTCTTTAGTCCCAAACAACCTGTTGTCATGACTGCAGGGTTGGGAACTATCTAGCCCTTCACCAGTTCCGGAGCTTTAAAGTAGATCGAGTTCTCCCATCTGGATAGTCGCTGTCCAATGATCGGCCGCTTTTTAATGCTCGCCTCATCTTCACCGCTCTTCACCCTTCGCGTGAACTCCTCAATATCAATGTCCACACCAATCGGGTTCTGGGCGTATTCCGCTGTCGCCATGAACTGATGAGCCTCCTCTGCCGTAGCGAAGTTGTCAACCTGGAGCTCGAACTCGTTGCCATCAGGATCAAAGTAGTACATGCTCGTGCTCATCCCATGATTGACTGGCCAGTGAGGCTCAATGCCCTTAGCCTTTTTCTGCTCGTAGCTTATTACCAAATCAGCCAAGCTGTTGAGAGTAAAGGCAATATGATAGATTCCAGAGGCGGAGTGTTTGTTGCTGATCACTGCGTGGCCGGGATCTTGAACGATGACTAGGCGATGATGTTCGTCATCGTAGGCGATGAAAGCAGCCTTCTCATTCTTGAGAACGACCCGGCCTCCGAAGAAGTCAACGTGCCACTTGATCATGGCCTCAAAGCGCTCGGGGGTGGTGCGGAGGCCAAAGTGGCCTATCATGACTGGTCTAATGACTTCGCTGTTCATGTTTGATATGGTAGAGACCAGGCAGGGTTTTCTCTGATGAAATAAAACACCTTATAGTCTGTGATGTCCGTAAGGAAGGAACTGTGACGATGTAGTATGGACTCGGACTTGTGAAGAGTTATATGCCTCGCCAGCAATGCAACAAGTGAACGTGGGCCAACGGACAACTGTCACAAATGGCACGTTCGACACGCGCGTTACGTCAACTCTCAGCCCTAAATTGTTGCCGCCATTATCATCACAAGGTTGAACGACCAGACTGTACTTGATTTTCCATGCGGAGCCAGGGCGGCTTTGACCGACGTTTTGCGGAAGAGCCGGTATATTCCCGAGTTCGACGGTACGTCTCGGGCCGGCACCGTAGGACTGATAGGCACTCAATAGCACGCCCGCAAGCTACATATCAAGAAGAAAACTTGTTTCTAAGCCCTTCATGCCAAATCAGTCCTCTTGACGCGAGTCTCGACTAAAATTGCAATGTCGCAAACCAACCAGGATCTCGCGAGGCATATCCTCAAGCATCCCTCCATAGGTTGCATTCAAGGTATCAATAAGCTACCAGAAGTAACTCAGTACTTAGGGATTCAATATGCAAACCTCAAAGATAGGTTCTCTCGAGGCGAGCTGAAGCAGTATTCCTCAGCAATTGGTAGTATACTAGATGTTACAGCATATGGGTACGTACAATTTCACCTTATCTGTACGCGGCGTCTCAGTCCCCGTTTCTAGGCCGATACCCATGAGCCCCTCAAATGGGTGCGAATGGGAGCACACACTCATACAGCAATCACTGCCTTTCCTTCCTCGGCCTCAGTCCGACACAGAATGCCTGACGCTCAATATTTCAGTCCCCAAGTCCAGCGATAGGATCAACTTGCCCGTGTTGGTATTTGTGCACGGCGGAGCCTTTGCAACTGGTAGCAGCAGTTACCCTCAGTACGATCTTGCTCAGATCGCCGCTCTCAGTGCAAAGATAGGAAAGCCCATCATTGCTATAAGCATAAAGTGAGTGATGAGCGAGGCCCAGTTCATCTCCTACTTGATCCGCCGCCTGGTCAGTCTATCTGTACCCTCCGTCGCTAATAATTGTCATGTAGTTACCGTCTGGGTGCCCCAGGTTTTATGTATTCCCCGGAGATGAAAGGTGCTGGGTATATGCCCAACAATGGCCTTGATGATCAGAAACTTGCCTTACGCTGGATCAAGCATTTCATCGGCGGTTTCGGTGGAGACCCGAAAAGAGTCACCTTTATGGGCGAGAGCGCCGGGGCAGGTATGTAGAGTGATGAAGTGGCCGTCATATATGCTCGACTTGATTGAACATGTTTAGCATCTAGTTTCTTCCACCTCCACTCTGAAGAGCCTCTATTTCACCAAGTAGTAGCCATGAGTGGCTCATCGCAACAACGGCTAAAGTCACTCGAAGCATCCGCTGCGTCATATCAATCTGTGGCCAAGGCGCTGGGCGTGGCTGACTTGCCGACGAAGGAAAAGCTGCAAAGAATGATTCAAACACCAATTGAGACCTTTATGGCCAGTGTCGGGCGCAAGTTTCCGTTGGGACCTCTAGTTGACGATGAAACCATACCTACCGTGACGACATACAAGGCGCTTGGCGACAGTGAAGAGTTCTTGAGGCTCTTCCCGGGTCTGAAGCATTGCAAGAGGCTGATGATGGGAGATTGTCAAATGGATGTAAGTATCAGATAGCCCATTCTGAATACACCAATGCTGACATGTGTGCCAGGGTATGGCATTTGGTTCACGCTTGGCAGGGCGATCAGATGTTCTTCCAAAGACAATGGAACAGTGCATGTCCCATGTTTTTGATCCTATCGATCGAAACATTGCTCCGAGTCTTGTCGCAGCTTATGGAATTGACAGTAGAGTCGAATCGAACTCCTTCAAAGCAACTGAGCCGATTCTTAACTTTGCCAACGATATTATGTTTGCTTTACCCACCACATATTTCTCGGAGGCCTGGTCAAAGTCATCCATACCGGGTACTGAGGCTTTCATCTGTCGTTTCAATTGCCCGAATCCTTGGGATGGGCCATGGAAGGGCTACGCGACTCACATTCAAGACATCGCTTTTGTCCTGCAGAACTACAACGAGCATCTTTCCAAAGGGCAACGTCTCGGTGCTGAGCGATATGCTAGAGACATCATCGCTTTTACTAATGGAGAGCAACCTTGGCCAGCTTACCAAGAGAGTTCAAGCCCAGGAGCGATGGTTTATTATGCCTCGATTGCCGGCCAGGATGAGTCTGGATATGCTTGTGAAAGGACTCCGCAACAAACAAGGCGAAGGGATATCCTGGAGAGAATTGTTGGATTGGAACATTTGGATAAAGCCGTTGACGTGTGGCAAATGTTCATGGCAGGCCTACGATGACCATAAATCATCCGTAAATTATTAGGTAGCTTGACATTTAAAAAGAATAGTTGTTTACGACTTATGCTTGAATTCAAGATTACAGGATAAAATACTTACTTATTGTACTTGCAATTACAAAATCATTATTACTGTTTCTAATGATTGGTATAGGATTGATTTCTTGATCTGATGTATGTGGTATCTAAAGGAGTAAATCTATACCAAGATCGATATACTAATTTTGAGCTCTGAGCCGTAGGTCGTAACTATAAATAATACATATAGCCGGAAAATCACATGATACTTGCTTCATAAGTATAAAGATCTCCAAAAAACAAACTTCCTGATGTTGAGTTATTTGCAATCATCTTATATCAAAGTGTGATTACCACGCCTTATAGCTATCTAGGTCGTTCCAGCAGCTTAGATCCTTAGAAGTAACTTTCCCCTCGTGTTTCGACTTTCTAGACCCTAAATTCTTAAAGTCAGCGCTATGTCTTTCAAAAAGAGGAATGGGAATAGATTTGAGAAAGGCGAGAGGAGTACTACCTTGTGTGCTTTCTGAGCCTCTTCCAGGTCATAGATACCGTGTATATTAACCTTTAGCTTTCCAGCTTGCAGTAGGTCAAATATTTGGCCGGAGTAGTATTCAAACTCTTCACGAGTTGTGATATAACCGAACAAGGTAGGGCGCGCAATCTTCACGCATTTAGGAGACAACTGCCTGGGACACTTTAGCATACAAATTGAGATGAGCGAGCGGGTGGGTGGACTGACTGTAAAGGCAATGGGGGGATTGGACCACTTGAATTCCCGAACCAGACGACGGTGCCCTTTCTTTTCACAACCTCGAGACTGCCTTTCCACGTGTCCTTTCCGACGGAGTCATACACGACATCAACCCCCGCTCCTTTGGTAAGCTCAAGAACATCTTGGGTCCAGTGGATGCCTTGATCGTTTCGATAGTCGATAACATGGTCGACACCGAGGGCTTGGACCAGCTCGACTTTGTCCGGGCCGCCAGCTGTTCCGATGACAGTCGCGCCTAGACCCTTAAGGATCTGTGCCATCAGGATCCCTACTCCTCCGGCGGCTGCATGCAGCAATACCCAGTCGCCTGGTTTGACAGTGTAAGTTTCTTGCGTGAGAGCCAGAGCTGTCAACCCGCTCATGAAGCTAGCCAACACATCCTCATCACGTAGCCCCGCGGGAATCTTGATTGTCTTCTCTGCTGGCACCGATGAGAACTCGGCGTATCCTCCGTTTGCAAGCCATATGACTCTGTCTCCAATCTTGAGGTCATACCTGTCTGTTTCGGGGCCAAGAGCTGCCACGGTCCCTACGGCTTCACGCCCTAGGACTTCGGGCTTGGGAGACGGATATAGCCCGGTTCGGAAGTATGTGTCAATAAAGTTGATACTTGAGATCGTGTTCCTGACTAAGACTTGACCAGACTTGGGAGTGGGAATGGGATAATCGGTTCGGTATTCGAGAACTTCTGGGCCTCCGATCTTTTCTACCACAATCGCCCTTTGAGTTGATGGAATCTCCATTTTGGGTGATATTGTTGCTGTAAGATGGTACTATTCACCTAACTTTTGGCAAATGCTCCTTGCACAAGGACCTCTTGTCCACTTTTGTAAACCGATGCGGCTACAGAAAGGACCCTTACAAGTATTCCAGCGTAGTCGGGTTCGTGCTGACCAATTATATCTTGATCCGAAGATTTGCGGCTGCGCAGAATGCCCAAAGTAGTAATTGCGGCGTTAAGGCGGGAGTAGCGCAACCCTCTCCATGGACGAGGTCAGGACCGACGAAGGCTTTTCCGCATATGTATCTGAAGGGGAAAAGAGTCAAAAAAGCCGTACGGAAGATTTCGGATTATGGGAGTCCGCTGGGTCCGGCGATACTATTTCTCAATGTTGATGTGGACTTGACCTGTGCAGTGGAATATATACTTTGGCTCAATAAGTGCATCTTAAGATCTCAGGAGACCAATTGCCACCTCGGAACCATCTGTCTCACCTCAACCACTTTCTCCACCATGGAGGTTACAAAGTACGTCTTACCCGTTACACGCTTATGCATAGGCGGTGTTTTGCTGAAGTTAACTCGAGCTCTGCTAGTAACGTATCAGCCTGGGACGTAGATGTTCTACGTACCAAATTCTCCCTCGCGCTCTCTGAGATGTATCGGCAAGAGGTTCCTCGTTATGGCGACCTCATTCAGATTGTACGAGATGTCGATACAGCAGTTCTAAGAGCAGAAGGCCAGAGGCCGGAGGATCTTCCCTTGAGAAATCATCTTGAACGGCACGGGGCAATAAGGCTTGGGTCAGAGGAGGAACTGCAAGTGATCAAGCGCCTCTTTGCTATTTTCGGAATGCATCCTGTCGGCTACTACGATCTACAAGTTGTCAAATTTCCACTTTCCGGCCAATCACTGAGGAATCCCTGGCCAAAAACCCATTTCGAGTCTTTACGTCAGTTCTTCGAAAGGACCTTCTTTCGCCCGCGATTAGAGATATCGTTGAACAAGTGCTTAGTAAAAGGAATCTATTTAGTGCACGCCTGCTCGATATTATTCACCAGTTTGAAAGTGGGGGAACGGTTTTGACAGCCAGTGAGGCAGATGAGTTGATCACTGAAAGCCTCAAAGTCTTCAAATGGCACTCCAGATCCATGGTTACAATCGGGGATTACAACAAGCTGAAACAGGAACATCCTTTGGTGGCAGACATTGTGTGCTTTCCCAGCGCGCACATCAACCACTTGACACCTAGGACCCTTGATATCGAATATGTTCAAAAGGAGATGATACGAAGAAACTTGCCAGCAAAGGAGAGGATCGAAGGGCCCCCTGTTCGTCGCTGTCCTATCCTACTTCGACAAACCAGTTTCAAAGGTCGTGACGAATTAGTCAATTTTCCCACGTCGACCGGAGACGCCGTACCCGGTACGCATACTGCACGGTTCGGAGAGGTTGAGCAACGTGGCGCTGCCGTTACCCGTAAAGGACGTGGTCTTTACGATGAACTTCTGAATACAGCTTCGGAACAATCTTCCGGAAGTAGTAGGATTACTCTGGATGAAGCGTTGGTAAACGCATTTAGGGCGTATCCGGATACCTGGCGCGAGCTACAAGAAAAAGGGCTGGTTTGTTTTCGCTACCGGACAAGCTCCTCCGCACATGATCAGGAACTGCGCAGGCGCTTGATCGGAAAGCTACATTGTCCAGTCCCTCTCGGAGAGTTGATTAAAGTTGGTTTGGTTGAGTATGATCCCCTGACCTATGAAGATTTTCTGCCGCTGTCAGCCGCTGGGATCTTCACGTCAAATCTAGGAAGCCAACAACTGTGCGAGCAATTTGGGGAAAGCTCTAAAGGTCTGAGGGATTTCGAGACTGTGCTTAGGGGCAGGGTTGTGAGAGAATTTGATCTTTATGATGAGATACAGCGCGTTAGCCTTGAACAGTGTGCGAAAGAATTGGGATTAGGTGGGATTTTAGTAGATTAAGCAAATTTATATCATACAAAAGTAGCACATTTTAAAGATCCTATAGGAAGCATAGCCGATACCATCCTACCTACCCTGTACCGAATAAGCCACAAAGCGGGGGGAAGACCTCGGAACCGGGGTATGTGGATCGCTCCGGAGATTCGGAACGCTCAAAAATGCCGACTGATCCACTGAATTTGCGGGGTTGTATTAGTGTGCCGGGCTGCTGTTCACTTTATCTCTTGAAGCGGACTGAATTCCACTTTCTTCCAACGCTATATCATGTAACCATGACTACTATTCAAGAAACGCGTACCAAGCGCCATCATCAAGAAGATGATGAAGATGTGCAACCGCCCCGCCACCGCAGAAAAACTATCCGGAAGCGGATCGCCATTGCATGCGAAGAATGTCGGTCCCGGAAGCGAAAGTGCGATGGGGCAATGCCGGCTTGCAGCGGATGCACGAAGAGGATGTCTGTTTGTGTCTATACATCCGAGGTTGAGGCTAGGGCCTGGCACAGCGCGTGAGAGGCCCCATGTTACTTTACGACGATAATCTCAGTGTCACTAATCATTACTCTCTGAAAAGAATGGTTCAGTCGCTACGGAACAGATTGGAGGAGCTTGAAGCAGCTGAAGCCTCGTCACAGGGACCAGACCAGCACGCCTGTCATAACGATCCAACGGTGACAACGGAGGCTAATCATGTTGACAGGCAAGCGTCAAGTCCTGATCATGAAGAGCATGCCGTAGCTGTGGGCACTGAAGAATACCCCGATCAATGGGAAGCAACATTCCCCAGTGGTGAATCTGGCATCGACCAGGCGCTAGGCGCCTCAGCACCTGTTGAAAAGAGTAGGCATGGATTCAGCCCCTCAGAGTTGCAAAGACTTGAAGAGCTCAAGAGACCGATTCGACAGATGATAGACCAAGACGAAAACTCAAACGAAGACCTCCTGGCTGTTACTCCAAACCAAACCCTGTCGAGCTCAGGCACAGAAGCGCATTGTACCTGTGACTCGGTAGTTCATCAGACTCAATGGTTTTTACCACTCTGAAGAGTCGCAGACAGCTTGATGTCAACATACTTCTCCAAAATACACCGGATATATCCCGTTCTTCATCGGGGATCCTTCAGGGCTCTGTATAATAGGCTGTGGGAGTCGGCGGGGAGTAATTCGGAGCAAAAAGCCGTTAATTGCTCTGGGCTCTGCAGACAGAGGAAGCGCGGACTGCTATATGCTGCAGTCTTGCATGCAGTCTTTGCTCTAGCCAGCTTGTTTGAACCTGGGTGCCCAAGGCGGAATGCAACTCGTGCCGATGAGTTTTTCAGCAGAACGCAAGACCTCAACTTCCTTGACGTTCTAGGCGATGAAGTGGACACCGGGCTAGTGCAGTTGGGTGTTCTCATGGGATTTTATCTACAGGCAACGGAGAGATTTTCCAAGTGTTGGAACGTCACGAGTCTGACGATTGGACTGGCTCAGACCATGGGGTTGCACCTTGCCGATGCACAAGCTAAGAAGAGAGGTTTTATCACGACCCCTCTTACACAAATGGAGTATGAAATGCGAAGCCGCGTATGGTACGGATGCGTCGTTTTAGAGAGGTATGTCGTTCCCTCTGAGATCAACAAAAGCCGCCATTTCTAATATTTTCATCTTCAAGGGAGGTTACAATGTGCTTCGGACGACAACTAATGGGCCCAAATGTTGGAAAAGGCCCCCGACTCCCCGAGCCAATTGATGATGGCCGTTTGAGTCAAGTTGTAGGACAATGGAACATACAACCCCCGGAACAGCCAAGCCTACTAGAATCATACATACAGACGATTAAACTTTATGACATATTGAACAAGGTCACAACTAGAAAAGAGCCTCACAGTCTGCCATCGCCGCCATCCACTGATTGCCAGCAGTCCACAGCAACAACGAACTTCCAGAATATCCTCGACCTTGATGCCTTGCTCATGGAATGGCGAAAAGCTTTGCCAGGATATCTCCATTATGAACCAGGCTCACCAGAAAGTAGCTGCACTGAGAACAGCAGTTCCGACGGCCTCCCAATCCCTAGAGACCATCTTTATTATCAAGCGAAAAGATTATACCTAAGGTTTGATCCACGTGCCCCCAACTAAGAGCGTGGATCTAATGTCTCTCAGGTTTCTGCATGTTCGCATGCTAATACTACGTCCGGCCCTGGATCTTCTTTTTGAGAAGCAGCAGACTGAGCCAGTTGTAAGAAAAGGGCCATTGGAAGTTAGCGTAGAGGACCTGGTGGTCTCCAGCATAGCTTCCCAGTGCGTGCTTTCCGCTCAAGGATTGATTTCGTTTCTGGAAGATGGAACTCAGTCCAAAGGGTGCCAAGCTTGGTGGTACAATGTCCGCTGTAAGTGTCTGTCCTCTACCGTCGGTATGCCTTCTCATCCTAGGCCACAGATTTACATTGCTCCGCCAGCATCATGCTTCTGGCGCAGCTGTGCAATTTCGGCGATGGGGGCTCCTTCAGGCAATCGCCTAAAGCTCTCCTTGAGCAATGCTTAAAGTGCCTTTCAAACTATAAAGAGCTAAGCAGTGCCGCTAGGAAGTCAATAAAGCTTCTCAAGGATGCTTCTGAAAGTCTATCGCGAAGTGGACAGCCTCCGGCTGAGAAGCGGGACAAGGCCACGAATACCCGTCACGCCGACTCTCAGAGTCAGTCACATTTACGCAACGTTAACGCAATGATGGACAGGAGTGGTGGGGTGTCTCAGCCAGGAACTGAGCCAATACTACATGATGGGTCATTCGGGCAGGGCTCTCTCGTCGAAACATCCAATAACTCCCAGGACCAAGATATCAGGTTCACAGAGAGCGACGGAACCTTGGCAGATCCAGCAGCCGACCATCTCCTAGGCCTGGATGACGAATTTTGGTCTTTGAATCATGACAATATGTTACAATGGCCTTTGGTGCCGTTTATTTGTCAGTTCGAATGCTTGCCAGATACCACAGACCCCCAAGATTTAAAATAACATAAATGGCAGTTTCGACAAGAATACCACGTATAGTAAATCATAGTTGGGTGAGGAGCGGAGAGATCTAACACTATGAACACAACGACGGCCAAACCACTTGATGTATAATGTCTGCCTCCTTTCTGGCGATCTGGATCATCTAGTGCATGCCCTTGGGCTAGTAGAGAAGATTAGAAATTTCCTAGTTATTCCCTCTTCCAGCCGCCAATGCTATAGCCTGTTTTGAGTCAAAGGACTTGGACATCCCATCTTAAAGCCGGAGATCAAGGAGATATGTGGCATTTATCGATTTGATAAACCATGACGAATTGCTACTGAAACTTCCAGCTTTTGCCTCGTGTACGTCTATTCATTCTCCAATAGCCATTCTCGGAACCAGTAGACTGCTGCATTCTTGGCTCTTTCCATCCCCCTTCTCTCTCCAAGCTTATTGGGGTTTCCACGAATAGCGAAGCCATGCTCAAGCCCAGGAAAGTACTGGTAGCTATAAGAAATTCCTAGCTTTGGGATGACCTGATTACTGTACTCTTTCAGCTCCTCCGTGAACATCGGGTCCATCTCAGGAGCAATGATTTGAACTGGAACAGCCAAAGCGTCAATCTCGGTCTTCTCGACCATAGTCGGGTGTGCCACCGAAATGCAGTCGGCGAGTTGTTTATCTTTGGCCCCAATATGAAACGCTCCCCATCCTCCGAAGCAGAAGCCCATGACTCCGAAGCGACGATACGAAGCTCTAAGAGCCTCTGCGGTCTTGATGATCTCAGGTCCTCTCACAGACTTGCTGTTTCGTGCCAAGAACGCTGGAAGATCGAGCTCAGCCCATCGACTGTCGTCCAGTATGGTATTAGCGGGAAGAATCTCACCGCCGAAGCTAGAGTAAAGCCGATTTAGTGAGAAAGTTAATCCATTTAGCTTCAGTAGTTCAGGTCACTTACAAGTCAGGTACCAGAACGGTAGCCCCGACCTCCTCAGCATAGTAGTCCGCCAAGATGCGTGTATTCGAGAAGGTCCATCCAAAGAGGTCATGAATCATCATGATTGCTACTCCTGCATTGGATCCTGTGACATAGCAGTTAATTCCAGCAACTTTGCCATTTCTGCCTCTGGGCGTTGCATCCCATCGAAAACCTTTAACACAGCAGTCGGCCATGATGAGTGACTTGAGATAATATAATCAGCGCAGTTGTCAAGATATCATTGTGATTAGAGGAGCATATGCAGTTTATAATCGAGTTTTATTTGTTAGGTTCCATTTTAGTTACCAGCCTGCAAATAAAACGTAAGTCATTGCATGCATGAAGCTATCCGCACTAACGCCGCAACCCTCAACCTTCAGCTAATTGTCACAGTTGCTGTTACCAAACAGGAAGCAACTACATCCTTACCTGTCTAAACATATAATACCAGAGGAAAATAATAAATCTCAGCTCATAAGCCCTCGAAGATCTTACCACTTAGTCTAGTACGGATATCTGAGCAGTAGTCCGTCTCGTAGGCTGCATATATGCGGATGCAGCATGCGGCTATAACAGTGACCCGCCGCAAGTCCGCAACTTTTATCCTGTTGACGGCAGGCGAGCGCACGTGGGTACCTTAATACCACCGTCTAGGAAAATAGGGAGAAACTCCAAACACTTGCTGACGAAACTAATGTATTAAGTTCAGCTTCCTGTCGGGGATCGTATTCTAAGCAATCCTTGTTGAAAAATAATTTGATAAGCTCACTCTCCCTGGAGCAAGAGCAGCAAATACCCTATCTAATACCATACTTTCCATTCTCTCTAACACATCTGCTTCAGCGATTCTGCGGCGTGCAGTCTCATTGGTTCGATCTCCCGCTTTATAATTTGCTTACTCTATTATCCTCCAATCTCTATCGTTTATCTGTATTAGCAAGAGTCCTTTACTTCTTAATCCGATCTTAATAGTTACTTACCTTTGAAACTAGATTATTCTTGTCACTGTTAAATCCTTCTTTATCCATGGCTATTAATATTGTTTTTAATTCCAAATATCCAACTTGCAAAACTTCGTCACCTGCTCCGTACCGAAGAAAAGACTTATAGAATTTCGATGATTCTTCATCTTTCGACTACAAACTTGTGTTATCTATATCTTTTATGAAACTTCTCTTTTGATCCCAGTCGTTCGAGCCAAGGAATACGAATGTCTTTTCGTCGAACACTGCATCGGGTGAGATATTCAATTTTGGACGGTGTAGCCTATTGATCTCTTTTGCGATGTGCAGATGCACCGCTGTTGGTAGATTGGTGCCATGCGTAGCTTCATAGGACGGGGATGGAAAAACATTGGTGACATAGTTACCAAAGTGTACTAGTGAGCTGATGACTTCAGCTAGACTTGTAAACCATATACCCCGTGGGTAACTGCGGAGAACGCTCATTATAAGATTTGAAAAGAGCAGCTTCTTTACCGGCGACTTTCGATGATTTTCATGGATGACTGTGATGCCACTGTGGAGGACATTATCCTCTACTATGCCGTTGATTGGGATCAAGATAGCGGAAACAAAGCCTACCAGGTTCCCCTTGCCATCTCGAATGACGACAACAATCTTGTCTTCCAGTGATGTAGACGAAGTGGGCTTGGAAATTTGGTAGTTGGGAAGTAAGATCTTTATATTTAATTCTATTTAAATATTTACTAATAGAAATTTTATTTAATATAAAAAATACATAATCTTATTTTTAGTATTTTAAAAAGGGTAGCCGGTTTCTGGGGGTGGCTGGTTTCCCTGTATCCGATGTTATATAATATAATTATACTACTTTCGCGTTCTTAATAGAGTTTTCCTACATTACATTAACTTTACACCAAGGCCTCTTCGTATTCGTTAAAGCCTAATATAACATTACCCCAGACTCTGATGCCGAGACAACCGAAGCGGTGAAAAGTGCAAAAAATGCCACTATAGCTTAATAAACTTCCGGAAGAATGGAACCTTAAGTACAGTACTTCTGCAGACATAGCTCCAAACTTAATCCGCAGTCGCTCCGACGGCAACCAGATGTGTCCCGTACCCCCCAAAATCAGGCAATTACCCCAGTGAGGAACCTTGGCATTCTTGGGAGCCTTGCTCATTTATCAGAGCCTCATACTCTCGTATGCCTGCAAGCCACAAGGTTTGATTGGGAGTGGTTTGATGACAAAAGATGAGGCACGACTCACTTCGGCGTATTAACGTAGCGTTCTTGGCATTTGCTAGAACATAGGTCAATTGGCGGTTCCTAAAAAAAAAAAAAAAAAAAAGGAAAAGAAAAGAAAAACGACGAGGTTCGCAACCGAATTAAGAGCTTATCGCAGGGCAACCTACAGCCCACACACCACTCGGTGACAAGATTCGAACGGCCCAGACTCTGTCCCGGTTTCATGGCGATGCCGGCCCGCATACAACTGGCCAGACAAACCTATCGGACATAAGAATTTTCCTGGGTCCACCGAATATGCAGCTCGGCAAACCACTTCTGGCTGGTAAAGCTTCTAAAACACAGCGTCAAGGTCTATCCATTCTTTCTTCTTGCTCTGGCAATCCTGAAGTGCTTTTTTCCTAGCTCTAATTTAATTAAAACGTCGAGCACAAGCCGTTGCAGCATGCTTAAACGGCTTCCCTTCTCCAGGACCCTACCTGTTAAGCCGACTTCAGTGTGAATATGCTTAATTAATCTATCTGATAATTTCTAGTATCCTACTACCTCTCTTTTTAGGACTTCTTTTAGTTATATAATTAATATCTTCCTAAAATAAGGCTTATTTAGGCTAAACCCCTAATAAGATTATATAATATATCTTAATTATATAATAATATA